CTTCATCATTGCACATTCACAATACTTATACCACTTTTTTATTCTCTTTTGGATGGACGCTTTCTTTACATCAGTTTATCATGGTATTTCCTTCCCTTATCGTGAGAGATTGTTGATGTATTACTTTGGAGATTTACAGCCTGAACTGGCCATTTCCACCTAATAACCATGCATTTTTTAATAAGTAACGGATTCTTTTCGTCAAACATTGACTCTTTTATAGCTTTTCTACATACAATACACGCAAGGGAACTTATAAATACTTTAAGACACCGAGTCACGTAGTTCTTGTGATTAAAATGGCTGTATTTATCTGCCTTCTAACATCACGTACTGATGAGTGCATAACCAGTGAAGTTTTCGAATCTCTCCTCGTTCATCTTCATGACAACGAGCATCAGCTCCATAAACAGTTCTGGCTCCTCGGCCCTTAACCGGTTCAGTGCCTTGTCATCAATCTCCCAATACTTGCAGTCTTTCTTCGCCTTGAAAGAGTTGATGAGACGACGCTTGTGACCAGACGAGACATCCTCGCTGCCACCAGCAAAACGGCCAATGATAGTACGAGGTAGTAAAGTCTCATGGATAATAGGCACACCTCCTTCATCCGAAATATTGGTGTGGAGGTCAACGGTTACAACACCTTTCTCAACCAATACAAAGAAAGAGTCCGTGATCTTGAAAGACAACGTTTGTCCATTTGCCAGCGTGAATGGTGAATGGAAATATGGTATGAGCTTTTTCCAGAATTCACGTGGCTTTGTAGACACACCTTGCAACGACAGCATCAACAGCGACAGTGGCTCATCCTCTTTAACTGCCTGCTGTTGATCAACCAGTTCTCTCTTGTACGTGTTCGACGCCTCTTGTAGAAAGTTAGTATTTCTTGGGGTGTTGATCGGCAACGTTGAAAAGGATGGCTTCTTAGCAGTTCTTGGGATAGACGATGTCTTTTGGTGTTCTTTCTTGAACTTTTGGAAATTCTTGTACTTGGTGAGGAATTCGTTCTCACACCATTCGAGTGAGCTGTTCAGGTCTTGAAACACTTGTAGTTTCTTGTTATCTGTGTCGAACAGGCCCACCTTCCTCAACGAATCAAGAATCATATCTTTATCACCGATGGATATGATCATGTACGCATCTTGTTCAAAGATGAAGTTTCTGATACGGTTCAAGCCCTCAGCAGCACTGAAATCAATGTTCAAGACGTTTTTGAAGTCCAGAATCAGGTAGCGAATAGGTGTCTTGTGGAAGTTATCAGTGTCGAATAGCTTTTTGATCTCCTTCTCAACTTTACCAATGGTTCCAAAGAAAAGGAAACTCTGCAGTTTCAAGACGTAAATCTGCTTACCAATCCTATGCAAGAATTGCTCTTGCAATGGATGTCTGATGACTGTGGATCTTGCAACCTCGCCTGTATAGGCATTCGTAATGATTGGAATCTTTGTATTTTCCCACAGAAAGTGGAAACTTGCGAGGATAACACCAACAACGATACCAATCACGAAGTCGTAAACACCCATTGTCAGGACAATCACCAAGATTGTACCATACTCAACACCACTGACTCTTCCCCAAGTATCCCAAAGTGCTTCCTTGAGCAGTTCGTAGCCGAGAAGGAAGATCAAACTTCCAACAACACAGACAGGGATGAACCCAATGACAACGGGACCAACGAGCAACACTGCGAATGTTGCCAGTGCAAGCATAACACCAGCCACTCTCGAGTCAGCTCCAGCACGCATGAACAACAGAGAGTTCGTGTAGACAAGATAGTTTTGAATACTCCCCACTGCACCAGAGACTAGATTACTCAAGCCATGCGCGATGAGCTCTCTATCAACGTCCACCTCATCTTGTTTCATTGACACAGCCAGGGCAGGAACGTTGATTGGCACGTGGAGGATCCCAAAGAACGTAAGCGCAAGCATAGTTGGCACCTGCTGGAACAGAACTCCCCAACGAACCACTTTAAAGTTGTACAGTGTGTAGAATTCATACCATGGGGCATTTGAATTTGGACCAGACGAGAACATATATCCAGAGTCTCTGGCCGATTCCAAGTCCCATGTTGGCACCACGATGATGAGGATGTGTGTGATGATGAACACCAGGATGAAGTAGGAAGGAAGTATCAGCGAGTTGTGGTTGAAGTGCTGTAGCACGATGAGGCCAACAGTCAAAAACACGGGCAGGAACCACTTGAAAAAGGTTGACAGTTCGAACAACGAAGAAAGATAGGGCCAATTGTACTCAAAGCTGCCCAGCTTCGACGACACCTCCATTCCCGTCACCACGAGGAAGTAACCAACACCTCCTATACAGCCGATGAGGATATGACGTGGGAAGAACGCCACAAGCTGGCCCAGCTTGAACTTACCCAGGAGAAAGAATATGGCGCCTGTGATGATGGAGGAGAAAGCATACGCCGTGATGGTCGTTGCAATGACAACGTCTGGCGAGTCTTCACCGATCTCATGAGTTATGGCTGCCGCCATGGCATGGAAGAAAGGAGTGACTTCAATCATCTCCGAGCCTATGCCAGCCTTGAAGGCAGAGCCTCCCAGCGAGTAGATCAACTGTGAAATGATACACGACACGTAGAACATGGACAGCCCTGCAGAGCCGAGATTGGCAAAGATACGTTCGCCTATGGGGAATATGATCATACCGTAGGATAAGCCATCCAGGATGTTCAGCAGCAGCCCCAAGATCACCGAGGGGATGTACGATGCCAGCTTCATGGGCTTCAAGTCCGACCACTCGAACTCTGGCGCCTTCACCTTTGAGCGTGTTTGGGCCTCAGGATCAACACCGTTGTACGAGTAGAACGCAGCCGCCAGGCTGGGATCCACAACCAGGGGAGAGTGCTCGTCTGCCTGGTGGTGTTGTTGTTGTTGTTGTTGTTGTTGTTGTTGTTGTTGTTGTTGTTGTTGTTGTTGATGTTGCTGCTGATCCTCCTCTTCCAGTATTGGCGCCTCATACTCAGCCAGCGAGGACTGCTCGTTTGCTCCTTCGGCAGCCACGTCATCAAACATCGAGTCGTCTGCTGCCAGCTCCTCAGTCTGCTCGTGCGACTCATCTCTGACAAAGCTCGCACTGTGTACTCCATCATCGGACATCACTGGCGACCGGCCACCGCTGCTGTTGCTGTACACGGTGCCTGGGGTCTGTTTGAACCCCAGGTAGGATCTGCCCAGGTTGATGTTGGAAGGACTCTCCTTGTACGACGAGCTCAGCCCGAGGGAGACGCTCAGCGCGCCAGACAGGGATTGCTGTCTTGCCTTTCTGGACATTATCGTCAACTCCTTTATGTCCCAGTTGGTGATGTTCTTCTAACGATGCGCTGGGGACTGAAATGAACGCAATTGACAAACGGACAGGGGTCTTCAGAGGGCCTCGCCAGGTATCAACGGGGAGGGAAAGTAGGAAACAAAGCTGAAACCAACGCTGGAACCAAAGCTGGAAATTGGCTGCCTGTTTCCACTCTTCTGCAATCACAAGGAGCGCTTCTCTTCGTGGGCTCCAAAGCCAGTGTGAGCGAGGGCTCCTAGGGAGGGCTCCTAGGCAGGGGCCGCACAGATTGCCCGCGAAGGACGAGCGCAACGCTGAGATTTCATTCGGCAGAGGACAGGCGCGAGATAACGCACTTTGGCGTCCAACAGCAGCCCAGCGTTCGTGAACAGGCCAGCGTTCGTGAGCAGCGCAGCGTGGCAGGGGGCCGTTGGTCTCAGGCAGCGCAGTGGTGAAGCCGCAGACGGAGTGTTCCAATTGGGCGATGTGTGCACACTGAGGATGGCTCGTGCGGTGCCTTTGTGCGGTGCCTTTGTACGGTGAAGAGACGAAGGTGGACGGTGGCCCGAGGCAAAAGCGCGTCGCGTGATCGTGATCGCTCTGGCAGGGGCACGTGACTACGGTACTCCCAGTCACGTGACACAACCCTCCGGCCTTATCTCACACAGAGCACACCACCGAGGCGTACTACACCGCTTTTATAAATCCAATTGGAAAAAGGGATTAATCCATCGGATTAATCCAATTGTCCCAGCAGTGGCTCTCCACCGGTTCACACCCCACACAACGTCACAGCAACAACGGTGCCATTGCTTTTATACGCTGCCATTCCTTGCACGATTGCCCATTTTGGCTGTGTTTGTCCAGCTCGGCCCGCTGGTGGGATCTTTTCCCCTGTTCGGGCTAAAAAACGCTCCCTTGCCAGCTCGGGGGATTATGCCCAGGGGAAAATCTTTTCTTTCTCCGTTGCACTGCACTGATCTCTGTTTAGAGGTGTCTTGCTGGTGTATAAATATACAGAAGAGACACACAGGATATCCACCTGGGAGCTGCTGTTGTGTGAGTGAGTAACGCTTGATATTTGTGAGAGAATGGGTGTCCCAATTACCGTGCTGCTTGCCATTGTCATAGTGGTGATCACCGTTGCTGTTCGCTTCCTGTCGACGCCAAAGCAGCGTAAGGTGCTGAGAAAGGATGAGTTCCAGTACTTCCCACTGATCCAGAAGACGATGCTCTCCCACAACTCTGGGATCTACAGATATGCGCTGCCACGTCCAGACGACGTTCTGGGGTTGCCTATTGGCCAACACATCCAGGTTGCAGCCCGTATTAACGGCAAGGAGATTGTGAGATCGTATACGCCAACGTCCAACGACGCGGTCAAGGGTTACTTTGATCTGTTGATCAAGCACTACCCAGAGGGTAACATCTCCAAGCACATTGCGGAGATGGAGATTGGCGAGTCCCTGAAGGTGAAGGGTCCTAAGGGGTTCTTCGAATACACGCCAAACATGGTGACCCACTTTGGTATGGTTGCAGGTGGTACTGGTATCACCCCAATGTTCCAAATCATCGAGGCCATCGCCAACAACCCAGAGGATAAGACCGAGGTTGACTTGGTCTATGGTAACCAGACCGAAGAGGACATTCTTCTCAGACAAGAGCTGGACAAGATCTCTAAGGAGCATCCAAACATTAGAATCCACTACATGCTTGATAAGCCTCCTATGAACTGGAAAGGTGATTCCGGTTACGTCACACAGGAGATCCT